CCGCATGCATGCAAATTAGGATCTCGCGACACTACCCTCTGACACCCTGACAGGGATTGATCTTGGACACCTTGCTGATCTCCTTCAGAATGCCCTTAGTCTCTTCCGGACTGTTAATCTCGCCGTCTTCAAGTTAATCTTGAAAGAAGATACAAAGTGGTACTTCGTCGTTTGGCAGAGGAGTACAAGTGAGTCGATGCAAGATGGAATGATGGGGCTTGAATTCTGCATGACATCTGCCCCGCGTAAAACAGTACGAGGTCTTGAAATCTGTTCAAAGGTTTGGCCCAAATGGGTTTGACTCTGGATCAAGCAATACGGGATCTTGGAAGCTGTTCAAAGCTTTAGACCAGATAGGTTTAGCCTTGCATAGAGCAGTACGGTATCTGGAACACTTTTCAAAGCTTTGGACTTAAGGGGTTTAGCGTGCTCCCAGGGGAGTGAGCCCCTGCCCTGGTCAAGCTTCGACCCTCGCATGTTGAGGCCCGCCGCGCCAACGGCCTGGGTGACTGTGGGGACGGTCCACAGCATATCGCTCTGGGCATTAGTGGAGTATGAATATAAACAGGACAGTCGATCTGATCGCCTTCGTCACACACACTTAAGTGAAAAAGCAACAATGCCGATGTTAACCTCCTTGGGGAGACGGTCCGGGCCCACGTGCCCCGACCAGCACTGTCTTTTGACAGCATCGGTGTCGCGGCCCATGCTACGAGGCCAAGGTTGTGAATCGGTGAGGCAATGTATCAAGATCACGGCTTGCAATTCAACCCGTAGATGTGGCTGCTGTGGATTGGTAGAGAGCCTTTTGCATGCTGATCAAGCCCGGCTCCCTTGGTTGGGAGATGTTCCGCTTCCACAATCTTCCCTGGAAGGCCACGAAAAAATGTAATGTAATATCGCGCAGGGCATGAGAAGACATGAAATATCATCCCAACACTCATTTATCAAGGTACTATTTATTATGTATTTGCTCTGGTGAGAAATTCCATGTGTACGCTAGTGGCAATCCAGCCTGGCTTGTGTTCTTTCTTGGCTTGCAAATGAGTGTGTATCACGAGGAGTGTCAAAGCGAAGAGCTTACCTAGTGCTTTTGCCGTGTTGTCGCTGGCTACCAGAAGATGTAGACCATATGAGTGAGCATATACCTCATGCCCCCCCCCCCTTCATACTTCTGCAGACTGACCGAAGTTTTGCCTGTCAACCCATAGAATCGTTTTTAGTCTCGCTGACTGCTAATTCACTTGCGTGCGTGTGTAGTAAGGGCCTGTACGTCTTGTTTAGGGATGTAGGCATGCTGTTTGAGCTGGGCTAACTCTGCTGAATCAATGAGAATCGAATCTTCAAGGCGCTCCGCATTGGTCGGATTTTTGGAGAGGGCTTGTGAAAGATTTCCGGCAAGATTCTGAACACCTCGATATTTAAATCAAGAGAAGCTGGATCTTCAGGTCGCTCCGTGTTGGCGGGTTCTTCAGTGAGAGCCATGTGAATACTCAGGGATGTCCATAGTGTCGCGACATAGGAAGTTCACCAGGGCATAAAGGAAACAAGTTGGAGTTAAAGTGACGGCGACAGAAACCGGGGACAGGCTGCAGGTTAGGGTGTGGGCGAGAGGCTTTGGACGAAATGGCACGATTCCAAGAACGACCAGGTCAGGGGTATGTCATTCACTGGCAGGCCGTCTCGCGGAGGAGCACGTGCCCCTGACAGAGAGAGCACAGACCACTTGTGACCCGCGGTTTACAAGTGGTCTGTGCACATTTCAGAAATATACAGGCCCCAGTTTTGGTTGCAAGTCAGAAAATGGTCCAGCGTCAACTGAGCCGCCCCAGAAGCCGGATGTCAACCAGAACGTGTCAGCAGACAGGGGGGCCGCCACCTTTGCTTGAGACAGAAAGCTGCATTGAATACCACCATATCCGATTCAGGCATTTGCCATGCAGTGCTCGAACCCCAGCGCGGAAGATATGACCGAAGACGAATGAGTAAAGGTTGGGGAGGTCGTTCGCCTGGCCGCCAGGCTGGCATCGTCTCGGAGGCTCCCAGCTGTCCCCGGGAAACTAATCTATGGCCAAAGTGAGTAGTTCGGCGAGCAATATCAGTTAGTGACGTGCAGATGAGAAAAGAAAGTTGATTCAAGATCAGGTTATGGTCGGATCTCTCTATGCGTAGCAACCAGACGGCCTTCTCTTTGCACTGATCAGACTCTGGTGATTCCCTCGAGCCGGTCATCAGGACGTGGATCACCAAGTTTGCATAGACTGAAAACACTGAAACGAGTTTTCTTTTCAGAATGGCAGCAACTTTTCCAAAACGATATAGGTCCGAGGAGAATATGACTAAGGTAGGATGAGTCATTTTAGAGCTTGTCACGATGTTTGCTGACTACTGCAGTCTCAGAGCGAGGGTGTCCTATCAGTGGAACAGTGGAGGGCTCTTGTCGAACAGAGGCCAGAGCTGGTTATCACTGGCTCGGGACCGTCCAGAGTGTTGGGTTTCGACAAAGTATACACGCTATCAAATGGAAGCTCTGTCTACAGCAACCACATGAAAGAATGCGAGTTTGGGAAGAGGCTTATTCGTCGGTGGCAGGAAAAGTTTAGATGCGCCTCAGAGATGAGCACCTACTCCTGGTGCTTCTGCTGGTCTTGCTGCAACTTCTAGAAAATGAGGCAATCAAGGACATATATCATTGTTCATTCTAGATGAATCTTGCGAAACTTTGTTCACAAATCTGTTCCCAAATGATAGTGCGGTGGTCAGTGCTACAATGATCTTTGGTCGCCGACGACGATGGCCAGGGAGACAGGTCTATCGAGGAGGAGGGCACGTCAGCGTCGCGTTCTGAGAGACGCAGGGCCGACCTTGGGGCCGCCTTGTATCGCGACCGGAGTCGGGAGCCTGCTGCCGGCGGCCTGGCCTATCGACGGCGGACGCGCTCCATGCCGCGGTAAGCTGAGGTCGTGGCCCATGCGAGCAGCCCGGCCGCGGTTTGAAAGGAGTAGGTTTTGTAATATTCAACCCTGATAGAAGCTAGTGTCACTCCTGACGGCAACACTCAGCCAGGCCAGCAGTCCAGTCTGCCATAGACGGACATAACGGCCCTTTTTCACTATTTCAAAGTATATGGCAGGACGACATTTTCGAAATATGGTGTGTTGAGGTCTTTCTGCTAAACGACCTCCGAGGGTGCAGGTCACAATGGAATTCAGACCAGCCCTCTGATTGGGAGATGACTACAGCCGGTCACTTTGAGGAATTATTGACGCGCTTCTTTCACGCTTGCGAAGTTTTAGAGCAAAGAAGTAAAATGCATTGGCAACCCCATACTCGCGCTCTCTGTCGATGAGATGAGGCCAACCAGGATTCTCAAGTACGCCGGCCCAGGCTTGTCAACGAAGGGACATGCGAGCGATAGCTCAAAGCCGCTGGAGAGAGCCATTGAAAATTGGGCCCCAGCGCTATCATCTATTTCTTTTCACCAATCCTGTCCCAGACACTTGGATATTGTTCCTGCTCTTCGATTGACCCGATCACACAATTGCCGCCGACAACTGAGTCTCTAGCTACATACTCATCGCCGTCCCCCATTCGCAGGAGCAAGGCCTGCTTCATTACCCAGTCTCGCTTTTTCCTCCACTGCACCTGTCTTATCGAGAGAAAGCCACAAACCGCCCCATATTTTCCCCTTGACAGCATGTGTGAATACAATAAGGCATGAATGCCCGCTGCCTAACCTTCAAACGCCAAATACCCGTGGGCTGACCCCCTGTGCAGATAGAGTACTCGTGTGGCCACTGGCATGGCCAGGCCGCCGTCTGGTGCCCTACATACACGCGGACCCACCGCCGCTGCCCGCCTCAATTCACTCATTACGAGTACCGCAGCTGGGAAGTCTGCTCCCACTGCAAGCCACCTACCTATACGCTCTGGGAGCACTTGATCAAGCGCAGGAAGCCGCCTGCCAATATGGTGTAATACATATCCTGTCGGAGGCGAAAACTCATTATCGGACTAGCAGTTAAAATCGCCTTTTGTTCTCCGGACGGGCAAGCCAGCTGGGGACAAAATGCATGTACGGACGCAGCAAGATCGCCAGCTTTGGCCCTCGAAGCACCAAGCTTCCCACGAATCACCATGGCACGCAAGGCAGTCCAAGTTATCAGCAGCAGCAGCACCAACTCCACCGCAACTGCCCGAGATGAGGCACTTGCTTCTCCAGATCCCCCTTTTTGATCACATCGTTGCAAATCATAAATTTGGGAAGCTTCGGCTTCTTAGGTGTGATTTGGCGTCGGGGTTCTGTAGCAAGGGTGAGTAATTTGAACAGGGGAGAAACCATGAAGCATGTAGCTGTGTCTAATCGTCGTGTTGCATTCGATGTCAAGGCTATTTGCGAGGCGAAAAGGTCCCTGGCATGTTGGCCCCCTTCCAAGCTCCTGTCCCAGATGCACAACTTTGGCGGGGAGCAAGCGCAAGATTGTCATGGTGCAGACGATTGGCAGCCTTGCAGCTTTCAATGATCCGAGCCTCATTGTTGTTCCGAAGGTCCGGTTGCCGTTGCAATTGCCCGAGGTCAGCGCGGCGTTGGCGCTGCAAGGGTGACTGCTGGGTCCCATTCCTCCTACACTTGAGCTCATTCGGTCAGGATTGAAGATCCACAAGTCTTCAAGAGCAAGTTGGACATTCGGTAGCAGAGACCATGCGGTTCTCATAAGTCGCCGCGCCCGATCCCCGCGCCCCCTATTGACCCACACCTAATTTAGACACCACGTGACCTTTTTCTATCTCGACAACTCAATTTTGTTCTCTTCCCTTTAACCTTGCATATTTCTTCTCCAACCGATAACAAAGCAATTACATGAGGCACGAGTGCACAGTGCTATCGCAGCCGTCTGGAAGGATTTGACCACTGTTAGTGGTGCTAGTTTTGCATCTAATGAAGCAGGCCTAGCAGGTCTGTTTCCTCGGGTCTGTACCACATACCCTTTTTTTGGAGACCTGGTCGACCATTTCAAGATGAGTCAGAGCAAACACTTAATTTCACAGGAGATGGCACCGGAGCTTCAGCACTGGTGAACATGAATCATGCACGTTGAATGTATTACTCGGCACCAATGCTCACTCATCGCACATTTTTGAACATGGGATCGACGATAACTCTGCTTCATCGCACTACATGAAATTGTCCGAATGTCGACGCTTGGCTTATTCGCGCTGGGACTACGGTTTTGCTTATGAGCCGATTCCGTATTCTATCAATAGGCGATTTCGAGACTGCTTCTTTGAGTTGCAACCTATTCCGTGCCGTGCCATGCGTTCCAGCCAATTTTGAGAGCCATCAATGCTTCACGTCCGAATTGATTGCTGATGTTCGATCTGATTGCGAACCTCCTCGTTCGAGGAACTTCATCTGACCAGTTTACATGTAACTCCCATACATGCTGCCAGCCTCAGCCTTGGCCACGGATACTTTGCGGGTTCCCCACATCAGAGGCCCTACCTTCCAGCCAGCGCCCCCGGCCTGGGCCCCGGCTTCGGACTTGGGGCCCTCGCGCACAATCCACGTCCGGTCGCCGAGCTCGCTGACGCGCCAACCAAGCCTCGTCAGCGATTTGTTGCCTCTCGATAGTTGACGCGCCGCGTCTTCAGGTAACTCAATCACCTCCAACGGCGCCGTTTGCGCCGTCAAGAGGGCGCATCCGGACGTGTTATAAAGTTCGTGCAGGACCAGGTCACCACGCCACATGTCTGACAGGTCAAGAGAGCGCAGGTTTTGAGGCACCCAATCGTCCAATTCCGCCCTTGTTTGGTCGTTCTTCGCAACTGTCTGTCGGATCTCGTCGGGCAGGAAGAGCCCGTTCATGTCGCCGGCGTTCAGGCCGCGCCCCAGGGCCAACTCCTCCAGCTGTTTTGTCAAAGGGCATAGGAGCGCAATGTGCGACTCGTCCATGTTACTTCCTCTGAGGTTCAGCGATTTCAGCGTTTTGGGCAGCCTCGGTATAAGCCGTGCCAAGGCGTCAACGTTGAACGTTTCGTGGGTCCGGGCATCCGCAGCGAGCGAGAGCCAGACCAAAGAATCTTTCACGGCAACATGAGTCGCTATGAAACTTATGATGGCTTCGGCGGAGAGCTTGTTACACTTTGCTAGGTTGAGGTTGGTTATCTGCGCTGAGTTGGCGAGGGATGCCAGCGCTGCATCCGTGATGCGCGTCCCAGCCACGTCGAGGTGCGTAAGCTGAGTCAGGCCTGGCAGGAGCGTCTCGAAGATCGTTGCAGGAAGTGTTGTACAGTTGTGCAGAGAAAGTCTCTTGAGTCCATGAGGCTTCGTCCAGTCGGCTGTGGTAACGGCGGAGGTGAAGGACTGCTGGAAGGAAGAGGATGAACAACCGCAGAAGTCCAGGGCCTGCATCTGATCAAGGCCGAAGAATAGCTTTCGGAGCACCTGGGAGTCCAACTCGTCGTCGATGTGCTCCTGGGCGAGGAACTCATGAAGGCACGGAGTGAGCTCCAGGGCTCGAAGCAGGGTGGTAGGCGTGAGGTTGCGGGCCTGGAACCTCTCACTGGCCGTATCGAACGAGATGATCGGATTGAAATGGCTGAAGTCGAAGCGCCGTACTAGCAAGCCAAGTGGCGGATATTGGGCGATCTGAAAGAGGAACTTCTTGAAGATCTTGGAATGCGGGATGGTGACGTGTCGATAGAGGGTGAGTAAAGTGGCGTCGTAGAGCCTCTTCGATGTAAGAAGCAGTGCCATCAGGTCGACATTGCGCTTGGTGATGCCGTTCGGCGGTACGTCAATCAGAAGGAGAATGATGATGCAGCTGAGCAGCTCTACAGGCAGCTTCCAAATGGCTGGCTTGCAAAGAACCTGGGGCGATCGCTCTGCCAGGCGCGAGGGCTTTGCGTCCCAGGGTACCCTTTGCTGTTCATTCATCTTTTCCTGCACTTTGAAACCGTTGAAATGTACCGAACTTTGTGGCAGGTGACTGTTCATTTCACCCATGGGGCGAAGACCTCGGCCTGAAAGCACTGTAAAGGCCCCGGGGGGGGGGCTAGGGGGTGGCCGAGCAAATTTGATATTTCCCTCGTAAGGTATGAATATCCAGGCTGGTTGAGGATCCTTCCTTGAGACGCTTGGCCGAGCTTTTGTATTCTTTTGGCAAGCTCTTGGTCTTCTTTATCACCGCGTTCACGGGACAGTAGGTCAAGTGGGGCAGCAATATTATAGAAAAAAAGGGCCAACCAGAAGCAACTTATCATTTGTAAAGGAACGGACTGAACAGTACAGTACAGTAAAGTAAAATACAGTGCTCCGATCAAAAGCTATCCGATCGGAGGGGAAGCTGCGTGAACCAATCACAGTTTTTCAAACAAGAGCCGAAGAATATCTCTGAGTGGATTGAACTCGAAAGCAAGTCAATGTCTCAGGACGAGACGGTCTCATTCTATTGCGGATATTTGCAGGCAATTGAAAGCAATATTTTCTGATTCAAATCTGGCTTTGTTTTGCAGGCGGCGGCAAGGTACGTCAATCTGTATATTGTTGATGGCAATGACATACAATGTATGGAGCAATCGTACAAACATGAAATTTGATCAGTCAGCAGGCCTGTTTTCCCAAACTACCCAGCCAATCGTGAGGACAAGAGCCACACATTTGCAACAGAGAGAAGAGGAATTTAACCGGGTGAAAGTGAGGAAAGAGCATATCATTGTTCGTCATTGCCGACTGTGTCCACTCCACCGGATAGTTCCAACCACTCTTGCTCATCAATGGCATGGCCTTCCTTGCCGACGACAACTTGGTATAGTTCCTGATGCTCGCGAGGGCGGGCAACCTGACTTCTGTCAATGATGTCTTCTTGCAAGCCTTGAATAATGCCCTCTTTATTGCCGGGGTCAACACTCATGAGGAAATGTCTTTTGATCATTTCATTGTATCGATCCTCGAGTTTCGTTATCTGCTCCTGTGCTTTGTTGTGCTGATCTTTCCAATACTCTACAGCTCCCTGGATCTCACTCTCTCTTAATTTTAAAGCTTCGATCTGGGCTATCAAGTCTTGCTTCGCGTGGTCTATATCGAGGCGACTTAACTTTGTGATGATCGTGTCTAACCTTTTCGAAACGTCCGAGCCTGGCAACGTTTAATTGGAGATCGCCAAACCGTCCTTAGATGTCTTCGACTATAAAGTGTCAACTAGAGCCAGGTGCTTAGCGGTTGGAGGGAGTCTCACGCTGTTCATGTCCATACCTTTTCTCACTGCTCCTTTTCTCACTGCTCCTTTTCTCACTGCTTAGACAAGCTTCATTGGGGACGATTCAGTACGATTGAAACAAGGAAGCGCGACAGGAAGGCGCTGGTGAAAGGATTCGAAATGTCGAGGCGCATGAGTCATGTCTATATCAAGAGAATTGTCAGACGAGGCTCTTAGTGGCAGGAAAACCATGTGTACCTCTTGGACGCGTCTGACTGCTGCGCTGAGATTGAGGTTTCTGAGTGGCTGTCGCTTCGCCCAGTCTCGCTATAAGTGACCACGACTGTCTGGGTAATCTGCGATAGGCCGTCCCCCAGGGTGAAGTCGTCTATGTAAGGTGCTGCTTTCATGTTGCAACGAACTGCAGCTGAGATGGTTGATACAAGTACCACTTGGAGGCAACATTTTGATGTTGCACAGCGAGGAAGCCGGGCTGCTTTTAAAACCTCGCTGCGATGGAAGCTGTTCTCACTGGAAATAGCACTGCAATCTGTTCGCAGGATCCATGCCCTGACCAGGACCCAAGCAGAGGTATTGTACTATCTCTATCCTGCTTCGACTTTGTCGACAGCTAAAAAAAGGCGGCCGGCCGTGTTTAGCTCCCTTTGGTCGTAGCTACTATGTATGGTACAGGCTTATCCGAGCACAGCAGATGCTCTATTTTGGGATTATTGATTCGAAAAGCCGAGAACATTGCACTGCCCATTAACACCTCCTTTCGGGACCTCACTCGGAAGGCAGAAATGGGGTAAGTTTTTTGTTCATACAGCACACTTTAATCCAGATTCATCTTTGCCTAAATGGCCTCTCGTAGACCTAACAGGAATCACAAATAAACCAGGCGTGCTGACAGTAGTAGTAGTAAGCTCGTGGGTAACACACTTTGTGACTTCGCTTCCCTCGCATAATCAGTGCTCGATTGACGCCTGAGGAAATTCGCGTGCAAATATTCCGTACCGTAGAAGATCTACCCCGCAGCATATATTCTATCCTCCAATAGC